AGGTTGGGAGGAATGAGGTGATGGGGGTTGGGGTAGATAGCATACCCATCACCGTAGTAGAAGTAGAGGGTAGAGGAGAGAGGGATTATGATGTGAATGCAGAGGTAGTGGAGGAGGTGAAACAGTACAGATCTGAACTAAGGACCAGGGATAGCTTGGGTCACTTAGTAGAAAATTACGAGATCTCATCTCGAGTGTTAGTTAGGCCAGCTGGGGTAGAGGAGAGGGCGTGCTCTGCTCCTCGGGATCACTGGATGCCTGTGTATTCCCACTATTTGATAGCGGGACTCAGGTTTCCACTTCCTGAGTTGCTAGTGGGGTTACTGTTAGATTACAACATAGGGTTGACACAGTTGGTCCCCAACGCAATGAGGGTAATAATAGGTTTTTTAGTTTATTGCCGAGCTCAGGGGATAAGTGTGCCAACTGTAAATATGTTTAGTATTTTTTTGTTTTAAAGGGAGGTAGTAGGAGAGATAAGGGGTGGTATTACTTCACCCCTAGGGTAGTTAATAAAGAGAGTAGGTCATTGTTTACGGCGGGTCCTTCATCCATTAAGGGATGGAAGGAAAAATTCTTTTTTGTAGATGATACGGAGTGGGAGAAAGGGGATGCCGAGGTGAGGGAGTTAGCCTCTTGGAAGGCCAAAAGGGTCAACCAGAATAGGTTTAGCTTAAATGAGGATGAGGAGGAAGAAGTGGGGAGGTTGGTGAGGAAGGGGGGAAGTTTATTAAACATTTTGGACCTCACTAGCGCACAATGCATAGAAGCTGCTGAGCTCTATGGGCCAAGCGCTTTGAGTGAAGGTTGGTTTAGTTCTGCATTGTAGTACTGAATGTAGAATATAAAACTGTGATTAATATTGTGTTTTCTTGTTTTGCAGCTGAAATGGACCAGTTTCTGAACACTGCTGGAGGAGCGGCCATCCCCAAGAAGCCAAGGAAGAAGTCAAAGACTTCAACCAAACAAGTGGATGAAGGGAGGGCCAGGAAAGAGGTAGTGCCTGCGGCTTCAGCTGAGACAGAGGAGGAGGTGCCACAGTTGAAGAGGAAGGGCTGGGAGGAGAGGAGGGCACTGCAGAAGAAGCAGAAGGTGGTGGAGGAGGAGAGGGGGAATGAGGTGCCTCTGTTCGTACCTCAGCCGTCTCCTGTTGAGCTGGACCCTGAGCTCAGACAGTTGGAGGAGGGGGCTGAGGTACGAGCTCCTGGTAAGGGAAAGGGGCCTGTTCCCCCTTTGGGGCCTCAGAGGAGCCTGTTCGAGGCAAAGAACATGACGGGGGCGAGGTGGTTCATCAACAGCACCTTCCCCAAAGTAGACAGACGCAACGCGCGGGATGAGGCTCTGAGGTATGGTGGGGCATCTGTTGTGAAGCATATTCTAGAGGTATGTTAAAGTATTAATGTTGTTTAGTTAATCTGTGTCGTCTTCTCTCCTTTCTCTCTTAACCTCGGTTTTGATTTGTAGAGCGCGAGCTGGGTGAATGGTCTAGCCCAGGAATTCAGGGAGAGCCTGAAGGAGCGCTTACTCTTGCAGAGGCAGTGTGACCAGCTGCAGAAGGAGAAGGAGGAGTTGGAGAAGAAGAATAAAGAACTGCAAGAGTCGTTGAACGAGGTGGTTCCAACTGTAAAGCAGTTGGAGCAGGAGAGGTCTTCCCTGAGCACCAAACTCGTCTTTGAAGAGAGCAAACGAAGGATCTCTGAAAGCGAGCATGAGGCTCAGGCACAAGAAATGAAGCTGATGAAAGAGGCTTTTTTGGAGCTGAAGGAGAATGTGCAAACCTTGGTGCACAATGGGATGAAGGAGCACATCAGCAACTTCATCAACTCCAGCTCGTTTGACAACATCGTCAACTTGTACCGGCTGCCCACTGCCATCATTGCATTCACGGACTGCAGGAAGAAGGTGAAGGCAGAATATCCCGAAGTGGATATTACGAGGATCACCTTCGGAGAGCAAGAAGAAGGAGTGGAGGAAGATGGGGAAAGCATGTCAGCAGACTTTCGTCCTCAGATCAAACTGAGGTGGGAGGATGATGCAAACGGACATGCTATTTTCCCTCCACAGTTCGACTTCGAGTTCGTTGCAGTGGAGGAAGAAGGGGCAGAGGTGGAGGAAGACGAGATGGAGGCAGGAGTGGAGGGAGCTGAAGTGGATGAGAGCCAACCAGTTCCAGAAGTGGAGATTCATCCAGTTCCCTCTGACGATGAGCAGCCTCCTCTGCCAGACGAGCAGCAGCCAACACAGTCACCTCCTCCAGCTGAGCAGGAACCAGTGGAGCCACCTCTCCCAACGGAGAAATAATTTTGTTTGTTTTTAATTTTTTGTAAAGACATTTGATCAGTTTGTAATACTTATGTTATTGTGAATGAAAGTTTATTTTTGAAATAACTTGTTTATTTGTGTTTGTCTTTTTGTTGATAGAAGAACTGAGACGACTTTAAAAAGGAAAGTTAATAAAAAGAAGTTAATCACTTCATAAACAAACTCCAGAGAGGTGACATCTATTAACAGAAGTGAATTAATAACAAGTAGATCATTGTAAATGAATTGAGAAGAGATAAAGCACTTCAAATGTGAAGTGACTTTTATTAACAGAAGTGAGGTTCAAGGAATGAATGAACTGATTGACCTCAGATACATAGAATAAGAGATAAAATGAATCTCCACAAACACGAAGTGAGAAGCGTAAAGAACAGTAAGACATAGATCACTTGAAAGAATTTTATTAGGGGTAAAATTTCTTCAAGTTATTCACATTCCAGACTCTAGGAACTCTCTTTCCTTTAGCGTCTTGGAGGACATAGGCACCAGGATGTGGCACCTCGGCCACGGTGTAAGGGCCTTCCCAATTCGGGGCGAGTTTGCCAAAACGAGTTTCAAACCCTGTTAGGCCAGCTTTTCTGAGAACAAGGTCTCCTACTTTGAATGT